TTTTTAGTTTTCCTCGAACTGCGCTGCTCGGGGCCGCTGCTCGCTTCTGGTGCTGACGGAGTGCTGACTGAAACCGAGTAACACCAAAACGAGGCAAGCAGACTAAGCAATATGGCGGCAGAGGAGAAAGAAGAAGATGGAAGATCTAAACAACAACAACCTGTAAAGCTCAGGTATGGTAGTTTTAGCTTTTTAAGATACTACAGGCTATCCTGAAGTTCATCCTTAGGCTCCTGTTGGTTTCGTTTCCTGAAAGTTTGTAGCTTCATTTAATATTAGTGAATTCATTTTGCGAAGTGACGCTCACCATTCATAACCAGTGATGATGATTCAAGTTTATTCATCTAACTGTTAATTTCGGTCGCAAACAATGTTTGGAGAAACATGATACATTGCTTACACTACTCAAAGTATTTTAAGTAGTAAAATGTACATGTGTAGCTTATGGTATGGCTTTTTCACCATCGCTTCATAACAGAATTTAAATTCTGGCGTCTGACAGGGTGCGAGGAAAATTGTGCGGGATTTTGGAGCCAAATTGTGCGTGGAAAAACGTTGATGGTGTGAGAAATTGTGCTGGATTGTGCAATCTTTCGGTGAACCAAATTTCAATGTCAAGTGTTCTTGCTAAGTCCTAAGGCGAGGAAATTCTGCATTGACGAAAATTTAGCCACGTTTATTTCACTAGTACTGTAGTTCAAATGCGTGATTCCAGAAAATATCCATATCTATATCACTGGCGGCTTTTTGGAATTCTAAGGGTAAGGGATTTTTCTTTGAACTGGAAATTTTCAAGCTTTTGAGTAGCCTTTCTTGCAGACAAGCTGTCCATTGATAAAATATCTGGGAAAATTCAGCTGGATTTGAGTTAAGTGATCTTTTAAATATTTCAGCCACAAGCAATTTAGAAGGCTTCTGAAGAAGGAAAGGCGACGCCAAAAGAGACAGGAAGCAGCTAAAAAGAGAGAGCAGAAAGAGCTTGAAGGTAAAGACAACATACTGGTATATAAAAATTATGTGCTGTGGTGTCAATTGGAAGCCAAATGAATGTACATGTAATAATGTGATATTAATAAAAAAACAAAA